CCGTTAATTAGGTGAAAAACCCGGACGAGTTCCCCTTTTCGAAGCCCGGGGGTCCCCCAGGATGTGCGGCCCGGAGCACCTGCAGGGCTCCCGGCACATGAACCGGGGCCCGCTCGGTCACAAGACCGAGAGGAGCGGGGACAATGGCCCGTCAGGTGACAGGGGACAGGGTCCCGGCCCCACGGGGGCCAGCGGGGTTTTGGGGATGGGGTGTGGCTGCTCTCAGCCCCGAGGGAGGGTCGGGGTGGGGGCTGGGGGCTCTCGGTTCCTCTGAACACTGCCAGCACTTGGGTGGGTGGCACGGGAACTGGGCAGGGTTAAATAATGTCACTGTTTGTCACAACCCCTGCACGGGCTGCTGTGAGGTGTGGGACACTTGGAATTGAGGAGGGATGGCAGCATTACATGGAATTCTGGAATGGTTTGGCTGGGGAGGCTCACCCAGTGCCACCCCCAGCCAATGCAGGGGCACCTCCCACTGTCCCAGGGTGATCCAAGCCCTGTCCAGCCTGGCCTTGGGCACTTCAGGGATCCAGGGGCACCCACAGCTCCTCCGGGAATTCCATCCCAGCCCCTCCCCACCCTCACAGCCAGGAATTCCTTCCCAATCTCCCATCCATCCCTGCCCTCGGGCAGTGGGAGCCATTCCCTGTGTCCTGTCCCTCCATGCCTTGTCCCCAGTCCCTCTGCAGCTCTCCTGGAGCCCCTTCAGGCCCTGCCAGGGGCTCTGAGCTCTGCCTGGAGCCTTCCCTTCTCCAGGGGAGCATTCCCAGCCCTGGAGCAGGTCCGTGTTCTCCTCTGGGCTCGTCCCAGCAGCTCCAGGTCCTTCCCGTGCCCCCCAGGGGATAGATCCGTGTGCATGGAATGCCGGCAGTGACGATCCAGGTTACCCAAACACCTGGATCGGGACGGGGTTCACAGGAGGCAAATGTGTGGGATGACGAAAAAAAGAGTGAAACCTCTGAGCTGCAGACTCCATCCAGCCTGGGCTGTAATTTAAAACCCTCCGGAGCCATCCCAGGTGAGACTCTGCGTTTCCCCCCCCCTCACCATCCCGCTGGGTACAGAACTCTGCTCGGGATGCTCTGACCCACTAAGCTGAGCTGTAACTAAGCCAGTCCAACCCCCATGCGGCCGCTTCCGTGCCAGCCTAAGTCTGCCTCGGTTTATTTTGGCTGAAGGCCGTTCCCAATCAAACCGCTGTCAGTGCCTGAGCTGTCCCGCTCTCACCAGCCGGGTTTAGCGGCAGGTCCTCATGACTCAGGAGCTTTAAACCCAGCCTAAACCCCACCGCGAGGGTTTGGGGTGCGCCCACAGCCCCAGCCGCCCCGAGCGGGCAGCACCAGCTGCATTCCCAGCGGGAAGCAGGTGCCACTCCCGTGTCACTGTCACCCCCGGGGGGCAGACACCCCCCCGGCTCGGTGTGAGGCTGCCACTCGTGGGGATGCGGAGTTCTCCAGAGCAGGGCTCCGGAGCAGGAGCCCCCCACGGGACCCTCGCCCGCGGGTCCCGGTAAGGCTGAGCTATAAACCGGGAGGACCCGGGTGGTGTTGCTGTTACCGGACACAAATAAGGGTTCAGCAGGGGTGGTTTAGTTTCGGGGGGGGTCCCTGCTCTGACCTGCGGGGCCGTGGGAGCCGGACACGCAGCGGGGGCCCCGCAGCATCCCCGGCGCTGCGGCTGCGGGCGCGCTCCCGCCGTGGGAACGCGGCGACGGGGGAGGACCCCGGGGGCACGGGGGTGTCAGCGGGACCCCCTCCTCACCCCCGCGGCTCGGGACGGTGTTGCCCGGGGGGGCGCGGGCTGTGGATCCCCCTCCGCGCCCCGCGCCCGCCCCGCACCTCGGCAGCGCCGGGGGCGCCGGAACCGGCGGCCAAAGAAGGGAGCGGAGGCGGGGCCGGATCCAGGCCTTGTATGGCGCTTCCCCTCGGCCGCCCGCCCGCCGCCGCCCCGCGCTCCCCCCGCTCCCCCCGCCGCCGCCAAACAACGAGAGTGCCCTGCAAAGGATGGGGGTGAAGGGGGTGCGAAGGAGGGGGGCTCTGTGCAGGGTGGGGAGCTCTGCACAGGGTGGGGGTCCTGTGCAAGGTGTGGGGGCTCTACAAAGGGTGGGGGGTCTGCACAGAATGGGGGGTTCTGCACAGGGTAGGGGGGACCTCTGATGGAAAGGGGGGTCGCTCGATGGAGGGGCGCCCCCGCAGTGTTTGGGGTCGCAGTGCCTCGGGGGCTGCGGTGAATGAGCGGCCCTGGAGCGCACGGGGGCCCTGAAGTGGCTGTGGGGGGCCTTGAAGTGAATGTGGGGGGCTCCGAAGTGAATGGCGACCCTGAAGTTGAAGGAACACGCAGGCCCCTCCTGCCCCCGCGGTCACACACAGCCCGAGTCGGGGCTCGCTGCCCCCCACCCCCGGGATCGCTCCCCCCGCCCTGCGCACAGCAGCACCCC